CCCCCACCACACCCACCACCCCCCCACACACACACACACATACACAGACACAAAAACACCTACACACACACAACCCTACTTGTTTTAACTACTTTGTGGGGACCAGTGGGAAAATGTTCTCATCTTAATAAGCTCAGCATACTTTCCACTATAAAAGCCATTCAAATATCAAAATGTTCAGCTTTTCTGGGACATTCCGGTTTTTATTTTTCATTTTTGTAACATTTATACTTTTTAAAATATTCACCTTTTTCCAGCACATTTTGCCACATTCAAATGAATGGGAAAACTTTTCATATTGTTTTACGTTAAGCATACTTAGGTATGTTCAGGTAGAAACACCATTTCAACTATTAATTAATCAGCAAGTCTTCAGCTATTAATCCTGTAAACAACTTTTTGATATCTTTTATGGTTTTTTGCATAATTGTTGTTTACATTTTATGTTTCATTTCAATAGCCACACTCTAGTAGTCCTCATTGTAGGACTACTCTCTCTCTCTCTCTCTCTCTCTCACACAAACACAAACACAAACACCCACCACTACTTTTTTTTTACCTATTTTGTGGGGACCAATGGAAAATTTTTCACATCTTAATAAGTCAGCATACTTTCAGCAAGAAAAACCATTTTGGTATCAAAATGTTCAGCTCTTCAAGGGCATTGCTGCCTGTATTTATTGTATCTCATTCTTCAGCTTATTCAACAATGAGCTTCAGCCATTTCGTCTCAACAATTTCAACAAAGAACTTCAGCCATTTATTCTCATCCTTCAGCTATTTCAGCAATTGATTTCAGGCATTTTCATGGCGATCCTTCAGCATATCAGCATCCACACGCATTTTCAACAGGAAATGCATTTTTCTAGTTAAGTGCTGAAAGCGTCTCTAATTTCAGGTTTGTGTGTCTGTCAGTTTGACTGAGGGCAGAGCTCAGATATGCAGTCAGCTTTGCTCAACTTCATTATACTCAATGAGCAACCACTGTCTGTAGTGGAAAATGTCAGATTTCGCAGCCTGTTGAAGGACTTTAGCCCAGGTATAATTTGCCACCCAGAAAATACTTTTCAGAAATTGCTATACCCAAACTGTACAACTGCGTGTCATCACATTTTGTGGTGCAGCTAGAAGATTTTAAAGCCATGAGCTTCATAACTGATATTTGGACCTCATGTAAGCTGCATCAAAGGTGATCCCATCTATTCAGTTGCCATTTTACTGGACCCTCGATACAAAGATAAATGAGATCATTCTTTATTAATAAAAACTTAATGTGCTAATTTGGATACCTTTTAATGGTAAATGTGAAATCTTGCAAAAGCAAAGCTACATGTTTATTTCTAGCTCAAAAGTGGAAATTTGTAAATATGCATTAATTTGGAGAAGTGTGTGTCTCTTTGGCCTCCGACCATCTAGCGGTTGCATATATTTATCATTACTCATATTTATTATTTTGTTTATTAGTATTGATTGTTTCACTGCAGTGAAATAGCTAACGGCCCATCACTACTGTACTGTACTGTACTGTTGAATGTGTAAAGTTGCTTTGATTCTAAAGCAGCAGTACTTGAAATTTAACCAACTAAACTAAAAATGCGGCACAACTCACCTTTTGTTACATACAAATAGAAGAAGTTGCATAATTGATGTTTACATTTTATGTTTCATTTCAATAGCCACACTCTAGCAGTCCTCATTGTAGGACTACTCTCTCTCTCTCTCTCTCTCTCTCACAAACACAAACACAAACATCTACACACCCACCACTACTTTTTTTTTTTTACCTATTTTGTGGGGACCAATGGAAAATTTTTCACATCTTAATAAGTCAGCATACTTTCAGCAAGAAAAACCATTTTGGTATCAAAATGTTCAGCTCTTCAAGGGCATTGCTGCCTGTATTTATTGTATCTCATTCTTCAGCTTATTCAACAATGAGCTTCAGCCAAGTTGCTTTGATTCTAAAGCAGCAGTACTTGAAATTTAACCAACTAAACTAAAAATGCGGCACAACTCACCTTTTGTTACATACAAATAGAAGAAGTCGCAGTAGAGGATGGTCTGCACCACTCCAGCAACAATGGCTATCATGTCAAAGAATCCTTCAAAGTAGAACCTCCATATCCAGTTGATGAGGTAGAGGGCTCTGTAGAGTCCCAGGAAGAAAAGGTAGTGGGTCGTGATGGTCTCTGCCTCACCTGTCTTGCTGATCATGAAAAGCTGGGGCAGGATGGCCACAGATTCTAAGTAGATGGAAAATGTCCACAGGATCTGGTAAAAAGAATGTGGAGTACAGAGTGTTTGAGACTGACTAAAGTACTGACCCCACCTAACCCAGTATTGAGTACAAATAGGCTACTCAATGAATAAAAATGTTATACTACTATATATCCTATATCATTACATATACAGCATTACATTAATAGCCTATCACTCATGCACTGATGTAAAAGCAGTATTTGACTGTTATAGTTGGTTGGAATGGAGTTCGTTTGAACTATTTTGTGTAACTATTGATTACTTTCATTAGGGATTAATTTGCCGATTATTTTCTGGTTTATAAAACTTTTGACAATAGTGTGAAATGCTGTCATAATACTCTAAAGCAGGGGTGTCAAACTCAAATACACTGGGCCAAAATTAAAAACTGGGACAAAGTTGTGGGCCAGACTATATTTATTGAAATACTGAATAAAATTGGGCATGTTTTCCCTTCTCTCCAGATATATAATGCTAAATTTTTTCATATGGTAACAAACAAGTTGCTTAAACATTGAATTTGGAACAAGCAAACCTAATATTATAAACACATGAGAAATCAAATTTCAAATAAACACATCAGTGGCATTCCTTTCTTATTGTTTTGTGAACATTTTCTGCCGTAAAACCAGACTTCTTTTCATCTCCTCTACCTTCTGGAGCTTCTGCTTCATGTCCCGGTCCTTGAACTTGTCTTGGTGTTTTGTTTCATATGTTTTCTTATGTTATATTCTTTTGTTACAGCCACGTTGGCTCTGCACACAAGACAAACAGGCCTGTCCTTTACATTAAAGAACAGATAATCTTCCTCCCACCTGTCTTGAAAGCTCCTGTTTTCCATCTTTCATTTGGCCATTTTTTGGGAGGGGTGGATTAAATTTGCCTGAGGTGACTGGTAGCATTAGGTTGCAAATGAATGTCAACTAGTGATGCGTCAATCACAAACAATTCGTTCATTTTGAACGAATCTTTCCCATGACTCGAGAACATCGGGTTGTCTCGGGGAGTGATACGTTCATTTTGTGTTGACCTAGCATGCGCAACATCACATGTGCTCAGTATTACTGACAAAGTTGTCATGTTACATTACAAAAACGAATGTGACTAATCTTTTAAAGATTAGTACACCTTTTGAGTCCTCGGTTTTGAGTCGTTCGTTTTTGTAACATGACATGACCGCTTTGTTGGATACAGAAATTAGTTAATTTTCAACCGTCCTTAGTTTGTTTTGTTTTTTTTGACTAGATGCATTTTTATTATAAAATAACTTTTTATTTCCTACAGACTATAATTTTGTGAATATTTGTCAATATGGTTCTTTTCCATAACACTGAATATTTTAATAAAGAGTTGGTTAATGCTTTAAACTTCATCAGGGAAAATCTTTTTCTTACGTACGTACTTTTATTTATTTATTCTTTGTATTAACAAATAAACATCTGGATAAACATCAACTAAGCCTGCAGTGTAGAAAATAGAAATATATAAGTTCATGCATACATTTATTTTTAAATCTAGATGCAGTTATATAAAAATAGAGATTGACTCCTGAATTGTTATCATTTATTTTTATTTATAAAGTTTTACAGCAAAGGAAATGACTATCCCAAAATGAATTAAAATAAAATAAATGAAAACTCAAGCAAACCATAAAGCCAGAGGCTTTTAGATAATTTAGAGACAGTCTGTGTAACATTTTAGAACATTGCACACACTCTTGAATTATTACAAAACCAATAAATAAGGGGATAACTATCAAAAATGAATCAAATAAATTTAAATAAAAATAAATTACACTATACAGCCACAGCGCCTAATAATGTTAGGGTGATTTTTATTTTTAAGTAGATATGAATAGAATTAGTTGAGGTTTTTATTTTATAGCATACATAAGTCTATATACTTTAATCTCACAGTTATGTTTATGTAGTTTCATATCACCCTATGTGTTCACTGAATCACTGGTCAATATTTATAGTGTTAGCCAACTGGAGCACTGTTTAACATCAAAGGGACTGGTTCACTAAATCAGTGAATCTCATTAGATTTACAGCTTTGGCAAAGAGGGTCCACAGTTAGTTTACCTCTCACCACCTGGCAGATGAGCCCAGGGGAATTAGGGTTCACTGGGACACTATGGTTAGTAAACGGAAATCAGATCTGAAGCCAGGAAGAGGAGAAAACTTCAAAGGTAGAACCATTACACACACACACACACACACACACACACACACACACACACACAGG